AAGTTAGCATTGGATTCTGATTAAGACTGGATTTAGATTATATGTGAAGGGATACTTCTGGGTAATACCTTATCCCCAACAGGTGAGGAATGTACATAACTGTATTAAGTTTATATTCGGATTTTTTTTTATCCGATATCTGATGCCATGACCTTAGGTCTTACTAACAATAATTGAGACGATTTGAAAAACGTATGGTGCAATAATTGGTAAACAACTAACATTTGGTACAAGTTACAAAAAAAAAATAAAAATAAAAAATAATAATAAATAAATGAAATAAAATTTACGCATTGAAAAAATAAATTAAATCATAAAACTATTAAGCCGATGCTTAAGTATCGATTTAAATTTGATACTATGCGCTTTTCTACTCATACTTCACTCATACGCCACGATAAACATATGAATTCGATTTGCGTTCAGTTGGGTTGAATTTAATTACGACATAAAAAAATGTTTTTTTTTTTTTTTAAAGCTGTTAAGGTTAACAATGTTTAACATCTTTTAAATAATCTTTGCAATGCTCAGTTTTTGTACAACAGAGTTTGCTTTTATTGTCGCCTAGAAATGTTTTTTTTATTTTTTATAATTTTTTAATAAATACGAGGTTATATGTTAATCTATAGGAAATCTTACAGATTTCTTATCAATTTTTATATAAATCATCCAACTTTTTGATGATAACATTCTTTTAATTTTTTTTTTTTTTTTTTTTTTTTTTTTTTTTTTTAATAATAATCGAACTTTGCTACGATAATTTAGGGTGAAAATGAAATTTTTATTTAAAAAGTTTTGCGTAGATAATTTCGTTATATTTTTTATCTTCAGGTACTTAAATATTATCAGTTGTTATAGCACATGTAAATGAAATTAAAAATTATTGTTGTTTTTTTTTTTTTTTAAATATTTTTCAACTTTATATCGAAACGAATGATGAAGAATAGAAAATAGTTAGGTTTTTTTGCTTTCTTTTGCAAGAAGCACTAGAAATGATAAGCAAAACGCTCTCATTCATTTAAATAATTTCTCTACATATTCTTTAAGCACAACAAAAAATGAAAGAAAAAAAATTTAAAAGAAAAAAAATATACAAAAGCTGATTTACAGCTGTTTATACAATGTTTAACGCGCGTTTTTTTTTTCTTTTTGTTTATTTTGTAACCCTTTTGTTATTTAAAGTCACATTTACTTAAATGAAATGCAAACTGAAAGCATATCACAATCATTTGCTTTACGTGGAATTATTTATGTTCAGTTGTTTGTTTGTTTACTGAAGAAGAAGTATAAAAAAAAAAAAAACATAACATACTTTAATTGAAAACGTCGGCGGCAATGCAACAAATACTGCATAAAACTCAAGTCTCATATATATACATATATATATATATATACATATATGCACATATATTATGTGCTTGTATTAATAATGCATTTAATTTGAATCGACAAGTTGTATTTCATGCGTTAGTACTGAGTAGCGAACTGAGCGAACTGAACGTTTTCAATAAATAAAAGCGACTGCGAGTTAAACGTTTCACAGATTTCATATAAAAACAATCTTTTTTTTTTTTTATGGATTTTATGGAGATAGATGTGTAGATGTTTTATTCTTGTATGCATGTGCATGTGCATGTGTATGTGTTTGCATGTTCGGTATGAAGGGAATACACACAGAGAATGAAAAGATTAGAAAGTATTTCTGTGTTGTACTACGCAAGCATGGTTTATCCGTATGTCTTATGTTGTTATCTATCTTCGCCGGAATAGAGCCACAGAGCTGCAACTTGTCGGAGCACATGTGGCTTTGAAAAAAAAGTTCAGTTTGTTTTAAATTCTTGATCAAACATGACTGAAGTTTGAAGCTGCTTTTTATAGTGCAAATACAATTTTTCTTTTTTGTTGCTTTTCTTCTTTTTTTTTTTTTTCTTGCACAAACGTTGGTAACTATTGCGTTCAGGTTCAAGTTTTTTTTAAATTTTTTTTTATTTTTAATTTTTTTTCTGCAATAAAACTGGTTTTGATTCTTTTAATTCGAAAAAGGCAAACGAAAGCGTATTTAATGGTTAAAGAGATATTTCTTCGTTTTTGAAATTTGTAAGGCTTTCATCAAAAAGCACATGAACATTGATCGAAGCGTAGCGTCTTCTCGTAAGGGGATTTAATTTTTGTTTACTCATTTTAAGATTATGCCGGCCGGGATATTTGTTTTGTTTTCTCCTTCTTCTTCTTTAAAATTTCATTTCGTTGAATGTTTGAAAATTATTCAAATTTTTTAATAACGCAATCTTTTCGTTGCCTCTCCTCGTTCCTCTTGTCATTCCTTTAGGCGAAGAAATAAAATGTTAACGAAAACAATTGTCATGCCCCATAAATAAAATACAGAGAGGTTTAAGGAATGAACATAAATTTGTGACGAAGTGCAAGGGCCTTCATAATGATCCTTCTTTTTCCATAGTGATGACATTCGCATCGTGTGGCGAAAGCAGGCAGTCATTTGAAGCAACGCAACAGGCGTTAAGGAATACTATATATAATATATATAATATAGTGTTCCTGTAACAGCGAATAGTTGTGCAACAAATCGAAGGAACTGAATGCAGCTTCAAGAAGACGTTGTTATAAGTCATCGCCTTTTCAACCTTTAAATGGCAATCGCAGGTTCCCCTTCCCGATCGCTTTTTTTTGTAACAAAATGAAAGAATTGTATGTAGGGTGACCAGGATTACGCTATGGGTGGCTTAGGCGACGGCAGAATGTATGTAGTCAAGGCAAGCGTCTAAGAGAGGCATTGAAAATTTATTGATTAGATTCACTAAAAGATTTTGAGCCTTTTAATGGCAATGACGACTATGTCCCGTGGATTGATTACTTTTACGCAGAATTTGAAAACATTGAATTTCAAGAGGATGTCACTATCGCTCGCTCAAGTGGCGACGTAATCCACTTATTGAGAGCAGAGCGTATTCATCGATATGAAAGGTTTTTACATTAGATATTATAAAATGTATTTAATGTAATAGCGGGCGCAGCCTTAATTAATCGGTATAGTTATTGCAAGTAATTTATAGATTTTTAATTCCTCATAAAAACATGTTTTGGCAGCCTACTTGTTTCAAGGCGTGTGATAAAATGACTCGAATTGTTCATAATTTAATAAATAATTTCATTCGCATGTTATTTTGTTTTTTTTTTTTTTTTTTTTGGTATGAAAATATGATTTATTATCCGAAAATATGATATACATATGTATCTTTAATTTATCTTAACATATTTATTAAAAGTTGTACGAGATTTTTTCTAAGTACTAAGGAGAAAAAACATGTTTTTTTCTTCATAAGGCATGGTTTCCCTTTTAACGCGCATAAATGCCACGCGAGTTTTCGCGAAAACTTCTGCCAGGCCACACGTGTTGGTATACTGTGTGTTAGTTAGACGGGATAGTTTAATGTTAGTAGCCGGTGACTGACGTGGCACTCAACGCGTTAACTCTGTTATTATTTCATACGCATCAGATACGTTAGAAGAAGGCTAATTAGTTACTGTCCCGGTAAAGTTGCCACTTCCGATATAGAATTGTTAGAGGATAAGAGCTATAGAATTTGAGAAATTTCTTTGAAAATAATTTCAAAGAGTATAAAATCTTTGTATAACTTGTATTTGTTATCTCTATAGAATTCAACGTGAGTGTAAATACATTAATATTTATAAGTGATCGTGTCATAGAAAATCAGTAAAAAGTATAAAAGCAATAAATGTAATTGAAAGCAGTCCGGCAAATAACACACACCTGGTATGGTGGTGGTATTGATGGGAATTTCTGATGGCAGTCAAGACTTCAACACTATTCGGAGTAATTTCAGTGAAATTATTTACAATACAATTAATACTTTAAGATATTGGAGGCATGAATGAAATAAACTTTTCTTTATGCCTCTCTTGGCATGTGCAAAAAATTAATACATAGAAGTGAAAATTATTTTATATATATATATATGTATATATATATATATATGTATCGCTTTAATAGTAAATTGAATTAAATTCAATTTAGTTTTGCTCTTATTCTGTTTACTAGTTGACTTAGTATACTTTCATATGGGTGCACTTGGAAGAACCTATGCACAAATGAATGAGAAGTGTATGTTGCTTTTTCTTTTTCGTTTTCTTTTTTTTTCAAATTCAATTATGTGTTTATTAGAGCTTTACACGTTTTGTAAACACTACTTAAAGAAATTGCTTTAATTGATAATATCCTCTTCTTTCAGTAAAAGAAGTACAGTATGTGCATACGATATACATATATGTATGTATATAAGTTATGATAAGGTAATGTCTGGCACATTGCTTGCTTGTTATTGAAATCTCATAGTAGTGTCATTCATTCTAAAGCCATGCATTATGCGTATAATGTTATCTAATAATTCTAGCCGTCTACGAAAGCTTATAGTGCTTTTCACTTTATTCATTCTCACAATTTCATCGAAAATGCTTACAACTAATTGTTTAGGTTAACCATTCTTTTGTTTTTTCCCTTATTCTTTCCCTAATTATTATTCGCCGCATTCTCTTTACTGTATTTAGTCAGGCAGGGAGTTCCCATTCCGAGGGGAAGTTTTCTGCTTCGTGCAGATTTGCATAGAATTTTATTTTACGTTGATATTCGACAAATGTGCACAAGAAGCTGATAGAAAAAAAGGGTTAGATTTCGATACGAATTTACTTTTTTTTCTAAGAAACTATGTACAAAGATTTAGATTAAGATATAAACAATTAATAGAAAAACAAGTAAGAACATTATAGTCGGGCAGAGCTGATCATTAAATGCTATACACCACGTTGTCCAACTAAATTCTTATTTTTCTATATAAAGGCATATTTTTCATATGCATATTTATGGGGAAGCTGACCCAAAACGCAACCGAATGTAATACAGGTTGCACCCTTACATAAGGCAGGGTCCAAAAATAGGCGTAGATGTTCCAAATTCTGTACAGTTCATTTTTGTATGAAGTTGTATGCACAGTTCTGGACTTATTTTCATCACCACATATTGAAACTTAGATTTTTCTGCTCTACGAAGTATCAATTTTCGTAAAAATTCTTATTAGGGCAGGATCCAAGATGGTTTAAATTCGGTACAGTTAATTTTTTTATGTTAAATTATTATTGTGATATAATTCGCATCATGAAGTATGGAAAATTGTACCTTTTTGTCGTGTGAACTTCAGTTTTCGTTACATGAGAGGGGGTTCAAAAATTGCCCCAGCCGATCCAAATTTTTCGTAGCAATTTAGAAAGTAGAAATATTGCTGCTTAGCCACTTTTGCCAAGAAATTTTGAAAATTACGATTTTTTGGCTTATAACGGCTTTTCGGAACAGGGCGTTACATGGGGAGTGGACCGATGCAAACCATTTTCAATAGCGTCCTTAGGTCAGAACACGTCACCTTACCAAACTTCGTCAAACTATTTCAAAAATTGTGAATTGTAGCTTGAACACAAATTTACACAGACAGACATCAGACGGACAGATAGGCCTAGATTAATTCAGATTATGATTCGGAATCGATCGGTATAATAATCGGTGGGTCTAACTCAAGCCCTTCTGCGTGTTACATACGTCAGCACCAATTTAATGTACGCTGTACCACAAGTGGTGTAGGGTATAATGACAAACCACGCTGGAGATGTCTCCACATATGTACGATGATCACAGCCAGTGAGAAGTAAGGAAAGAGAACGCGATAGGAAGGTTTATTATGCACGCTTTTGTTATTCGCTTCGGCTTTGATTTTCTGCAATTGCTTGAAACACATGTTCGCTTGGAACGAAGTGTTGTTAGATTATATATCATGTTGCTATTATTCAATTTAATCCACGATAACTCTTATGTCTAAGTGCCACAAAACTTAGTTCAAAGCGCTTTAATTCAATTATAATGAAAATATTTTAATTGTATAAATTTTTTCTCAAGTTAAACATTTTTTTTTTTTTGATATGTTATGAAATTTTTCTCGTTTAGTTTGGTTAATGGTAACGATGACGGCAAATGCGCCATTGAACCATGTTAATTATATCATTTCTGGTTAATTATTATACTCATTTTTATGCTGTACACATTACTTAACCTAATAAACTAGAGATTGAGATTTTAAGTGCCACTGGTAACTTTTTCAAGCCAAAGAAACAATTTTTAAAAAGATTTATATATTATTTTCCTTTTTGTTGTTGCTGCTATTTTTTAAACTCAAAAAAATTAATCAGTCACCTTTAAGTTTTAAATATTTCATCGATACTAAGACTTAAATTGTTTTGTACTGAATGACGAGGAGGATGAGAGAGAAATTCGTGGAGCAATTAATTCCGTATACCTAACATTAAAGATAAATAGTAATAATGAACTGTCAGTTTAGTGTAAGTCGTTGTTGTGTAAGTGAATT